ACAATGGATGGATGTATGGATTGTGATAAGAGTTGTGTGAGCCCCAAATAAAATGATTCAAAAAAGAAGATAAATGAAATTGATTTATAAAATATAAATATAGTACATAAATGGAGATAGATGAAAGTGATTTATAAAATAAAAATTAAGATATTTTATCTCTTTGAGAATTTTAGAAGTAAATAATGAAAAATGAATGGGAAAAATGCAGTGAATAAATGCAAGATGAATGTCAATGAAAAAGAACATCAAAGGAAGCTTGGGTTCTTGACTAATTTCAACAAAGATATACTAAAAAATTTAACATTGTAAAATTCTATTTATTAAAACTAGTTAAGCAGTTGTCATAAAGTGAGATTTATCAATTGAATTACAGAAATAAGAGACATAAATTTTGTTGAAGTTAAAATAAAATCACATCCACATTTTGGTGATCTATGTCAACCAATAATATAACAATAGAGAATTAAAATGTATTTTTTAATATCTAAGGAAACAGAGGATGGATTTCAGGATAAAAGAAACATCAGATTATGATAATAAAATGCTCCATGATATTGAGAGTATAATACTAAAATATTTTGTGATATTATCCTCCAATAATTAATAGCAATGATTATAAGAAATGTGTCATCATGATATAAATATCTGGTTACATTTCTGTTATCATTTGCTTTATAGCTCTAAATCCCATTAATTTCTACCTTAGATTGATACTCAATGGATTATTTTATATTTAAAAGCTTTCCAAGTATTTTAAATTACTTTTATCAATTTATATTTTAAAGTAATAATTTCTATGTTGCTCTTTATTTAATGTTGGAAAACTAAGACAAAGTTATATGAGGAATATCAGACTTGGATCCTTCTCAACTTGATCGAATGATTGAAGGCACTATCATTCAAAAGTAGAAGAGAGAGAAAAACTAAAGACACTCATTCTCTTGGATTCCATGTAGAAATATTGCACATTGAATCAAGAATCTCTTACATTGACTTGAAGATATTTTGTAAACCGAAGGGAATGAGAAATAACTATTGGACAGAGATGCATACAGATGTAAATACATATAAAACTTCTGTTGTTGTTAGTTGTCTTTAGTCAGTTGTAATTTTTAGAGACACTGTGTGCAATAGAAGGAAATGCTGAGTGACAATATGTGGGGAGAGGGAACGATGTCAAGAAGCCCAGGAAGGAAAACTATGTTCAGAGATTGATTATAAAAGCAATTGTACAATTATGTTTGACATGACCGAAATATGGAGTGATATGACATATGTCACTACAAATTAAAGAAAAAAGAGAATAAAAAGCATAAATCTAGGAATGAGTTCTGGACTCACACAAAATCCTGGCTCCAATATAAGGACAATTCACTTTCTTACATAATTGCCCTCCTGGAGAAATGCAAGAAATGATCATTGAAGATAAGGGTGCTACAGCAAAGAATGGTGAAGAAAGTAGATGATGCCCAGCTATGGGAACAGTGTCTGGGCCTTAAAGGCTTGTATTCAGTCAAGCAGCCATCTAAGCGAGGAGTCAACTAAGTCAACGTAGAAGAAGCACACCAGCTTGTGTGATCAAAATATGATGATGACAAAATTTGAATATAGTGAAGAGAAACGTCTCAGAGCTAAAATTATGAACACCCAATTTGTAGAAAGCTATGGAGGACAGTGAGAGCCCAAAGCGCATTTGCAGATTATCTAGTCAGACTGAGCAGCTGGCAGATCTAATGTAGCCAAAGGCAAGATTTCTGAACAGATTTACTCTCAGGCAGATATTGTAACCTAGATTGTGCTGGATTGCACTTGACACTTGGCCAGTTGACCTTCCTATAGACATGACCTGAATTTGTACTGGGTGCAAGTATCTCTTAGTTGTTCCATGACAGAAATTTCTTCCCTGGCTTATTGAATGTTGATGGGGATGTTCTTCTTTTTATACATTATTTGTATTTTTGTCTTTATACTAGTATTATCTCATCCTTTCCACCTTAGTGCAATTGGTTTTTTATTGTTTTCTGTTGGGGTTCCCAGCTGTGAAGCACAGCAGGAGTGAATGCCTAATGATAACTGACACAAGGGGTTATAAGAAGGCAAGGGTGGGGGATGTCCAATAGGGAGGAAAAGGGGATTGCGGGCATAAATACTGAAGATAGGAGGGGGGAGGAAGTACAACTGATTGTGACTGTACAACTCATTTTAAAGGTAATTGAATCATGGGCAGGGGGGAATGCTCTAACATTGATGTGGTGGTGATTGAACAGTTCCACTTGATATGATGGAACAATTGAACTATTCAGTTGTGTTTTATGTAAATTATGTGCCCATAAAACTGTTGGGAAAATAAATTTTAAAATAATATAAAGTTCCCCACATAAGACATAAATGAATAAAGGTACTTAACATTTTTATTTTTGGTTTGAGTCCATTGTTTCAGCCACAGTGTCAATCCATATTATTGAGACTATCTTTTTTTTTTCTTACTATCTACCAAACATGATAGCCATGATAGCCAGGGACTGATTTCTCCTGATAACGTGCCCAAAATAAATGAGACATAATCTCAACCACCTTTTTTCTAAGGTGAATTCTGACTGCACTTCTTCCAGCAGATTTGTTTGTTCTTCTGGTAGCTCAAAGTATTTTCAATATTCTCCAACAACACCGTCATTAAAATATATCAACTTCTCGACTGTATCTCTTATTTATTGTCCACTTTCACAAGCAGGTGACGAGTGAAAAGTCCCTGGCTTTGGTGCCATGCCACCTTCACAGTCACGTCTCTGCTCATTAACAATTTCTAAAGGTCGTGTACAGGAGATTTGCCCAATGCAATGAGGTTTGATTTCTTGACGACTGCTTCTGAGAACAGCACAAAATTAAATCCTTGACCATTTCAGTCTTTTCTCTATTTAACTTGTTTAGTGGTTCGGTTGTAATGATTTTGTTTTTCTTTGCAATGAGTTGCAGTCCGTACTGAAAATTACAGTCTGATTTTCATCAGCAAGTACATCAAGTTCTCATAGCTTTTAGTTTGTTAATAAGCCTTCCCCCGATCTTAATGCCTGCTCTTCTTCATATAGTCCAGCTTTTCAGATTATCTGCTCAGCGTCCAGATTGAATTAATATGGGGAACGGATACAACCCTGAAACACACCGCTCCTGATTTTAAACAGTGCAGTGTTCTCTCGTTCTGTTGGCTGGATGCCCCTTTGGCTATGTACAGGTTCCCCATGAGCACACTGAAGTGTTCTGGAATTCCCATTCTCCTCAATTCTGTCCATAGTTTGTTATGATCCACACAGTGAAATGACACTGTATAGTCAATAAAACACAAGTAAACATCTTTCTGGGTAAAAAAGAAAAACACAACAATAACAACAAAAAAACTCCCCACTTCTTGTCATACGTAAACTTTACTTTTAGATATATATTTTTTTTGTCTCTTAATTTCAGAATCTCTGCAATTACCAAGGTCATGTTGAAGGTTTTCCAAATTCTGCTGTGACCATTAGTACCTGCTTTGGACTGAGGTTTGGACATTATTATGTACCAAATGGAATGTTTTTCTAGTATTTTTAATTTAATTTTATATTTATCAAGGATATCTAGATAGTCATATTAAGGAAATAAGCGGTGACCAGATGTCCCGCTTTTGGCGGGACAGTCCCGATTTTTTGAAAGAATGCACAAAAGGCTAGGGAATGGTCTATTTGGTCCATATAGATGACATTTTTAATCAAGAATCCGCCCCCCCCACCTCGGTCAATGGTGTCCCGCTTTAAATCTGGTCACCTTACAGTTAGTACCTGCTTTGGACTGAGGTTTGGACATTATTATGTACCAAATGGAATGCTTTTCTAGTATTTTAAATTTAATTTTGTTTTATATTTATCAGGGATATCTAGAGTGGAGATAGTCATATTAAGGAAATAATATTAGTCAAAGGGAAACATGGAGTAAGGAATCATGGTATAATATTAGCATTGTCTGGAAAATATTGTATGTTATCATTGAATCAGTGTCAGTGATCATACAGTTGTGTACCTTTCAGTAAGTGTGAATGTTATTTCTTAATTCTATTTTATTTTTTATGAGTAAAAGTGATAATAACCTACTGGATTCTCATATCACAACATGGCATACTAATTTAAAATTAAATTTTATTGTTGGCATTTCTAGGGGCTTAATACAGTTTGAGAAAGTCAGTTATGGAATTGAGCCAATAGAGACTTCAGCTGGGTTTGAGCATATTATTCATCCTGTAAAGAATAAGAATGCAAGCTATTCTTTATATACCAAGATGGAGAATGAACGAACTCAACCATCTCATAAAATCCCAAGGGGGGTCGAGGTATGTGAATAATTGAAGACTACATGGTATTGTCATATAACAAGTTAAAACAGTTGCACTAGTAAATTTTACTGGGTAAATCTGGCAAAATAAACTGTTCAGCATGTATAGTTTATAATTATATTTAATCAAGGGTATAGGTTGTGATATAGAGCACATTATTAGTATCATAAAAAATCTCATAATTAGTCTAACAGCAACAACATAAGCACTGGAATTTATGCAGACAATCATATTGTCTTCTAAGACTTTATAGTCTGTATATATTCATCCTTTTCCCATATCTATTATGTTCACACTTCAATATATTAATAGTAATATAATTCATGTGACTTTGAGTAGATGAGGTAATAATGCAAAATTATTTCTATTTACTCTTTATACTCTATGGATATGTCACCTAGTGTATTATTAATCTATTCATTACATTATTCATATAGTTTAAGGAACTTTTTCAAAATACAGATTTATCAATTCTGAAAATAATAGCCATCTAGTACTTTATATCCTCCCTAGTTTCTATTTTCAAATATGCCTTTATAAAACAAACTAGTTTCCTGATAGATAATTAAATCTGGTGTCGTAATGGGCTATGCCCTGTGATGCTAACTGCAAGGTCAACAGTTGGAGAACTACCTGGCACTCCATGGGGGAAAAATGAGGCCTTCTAGTCTTATAAAGCTTTACAGTCTCAGAAACCCACAAGGGAAGTTTTACACTGTCCTATCGGGTCACTATGAATTGGAATCTGCTCAATAGCAGTGAGTTTGATTTGGGTTTTGGTAAATGAGCTATTAGAATTTATTCCATTACAATTTAAAACTCAAATTCTCAGAGCCATAACATTTTGGAGACTCAAACTGTTTTTTAAAGTGGTTGCAATAATGTCAGAAGTGAGGAATCATTCTAAATCATCCAATATTTGTTATTTTCTATATGTGTCGTGCTTAGTTTCTATAATTGCTGTACTAGTTAGTGGGTGTTAAGTGATATCTATTCGCATGTGTAATTGTATGTTGCATTCCTCATGATTAATGAAGGCTGTCATGCTTGGTAAAGTACAGAGTCAGTGAAACGGGAAGGTTATCAGCAAGATGGATGGACATAGTGGCTACCATAATAGACTCAAACATCCTGTGATAGTTAAGTTTGTGTCTAACTCTGATTGTGTAACGCTTACTCGTTGGACTGCCATCCGCATGTTCGGCAGTTTAAAACCACCTGCAGCTCTGAGAAAGAAACACTTGACTTTCTACTCCCATAAGCAGTTACAGTTTAGAAACCCACAGGGGGTCACTATAAGACACCTTTGACCAGATGGTATGGCAGTGAATATGTGTGTGTGCGCGCAGACCAGGAGTCTTAGTTTGGGAGTTTGAGCCTCCCCATGATATGACATTGCATAAATTAATTAACTCCATGGTGGGATCTACGGTTGTAGGAAGATTAGGGGGTAGTGCTAGGCCTTGGATTAGCTCATAGTTGTAATACAATTGGAAGGAAGTTTCATCAAGGATGTAGCCCACTCTTAGACAAGTTGACACTGTGAGGAAGCTAGCTCACATCTCACTGGTACAGATCCTGCATCTTACTCATAGACCAATCACATTGCCTACAGATCCTGGAAGCTATCAGGGGGCCAAATTGCCTGTTGACCTTACATTCATTCAACTCTGTAGAGATAAGCTTCATTTACTGACTGGTTTGTCTTCCTGAAGAGCCCTGATGGTGTAGTGATTGCAAGTTGTGCTGCTAACGACAAGGTCTGTTGTTCAAAACCACCAGCTACTCCTTGAGAGAAAGACAAGCCTTTATATTCCCGTAAAGAGTTACCCTTGGAAATTCACAGGGGGAAAATTACCCTGTCCTCCAGGGACCCTATGAGTCAGAGTGGATTCATGCAGTGAGTTTTTGAGTTGTCTTCTTGCTTCCTGGTTGGTCAGCCCTGGGAGCGACAAGAGGAAAGAAAAGCCCCAAACCCTACTTGCAGATGTTGCATTCATCTGCCTCCCTCGACCAGCCTGTTGTATTCCAGCTTCCTGGTTTTTCCTACTTCCTGGTCATCACCCCGGACAGAACATCCGACTCAAAGACTTGGATCAGGTTGGACTTACTGCAACTGTGACTGTGGGAGCCAGGTTCTTAGTACACAACTCTTTATATGGATAGTTATTGTTCTTGTTAGGTGCCTTCAATTTGGTTCTCATAGTGACCCTGTGCATAGCACAATGAGACACCTCCCAGTTCTGCACCCCCTCAAAACTGTACTTATGTTCGACAGCCCATTGTTGTAGCCAATGTATCAATCCATCTCCAGGAGGCAATCTTCTTCTGCTCTACCAAGCATGATGTTCTTCTCCAGGGATTGGTTTCTCCTGACAACCTGTCCAAGCTCGTGAGACGAACACTTATCATTGATGTTGCTTCTCTAGGGAACCCAGCCTAACACGCATAGCAATGACTGTGAGAATGACCTAGGACTAGACATTGTTTCATTATGTTGTACATACGGTAACTACAAATCACAACTGACCAAATGGTACCTAACAGAGTAATTACTAACAGTAATCTTACCAATCACCTAATTTAGTAATGATAGTAATGACTAATTAGGCTGAGCATCTTTTCACATGCTTATTGATAATTGGTAAAGTATCTTCCTTGGATATACTGGGTTTGGTTTTGTTGCCTAATTTTTATTTGTTTTCTGTTTTTGACTGAGATTCTTTGTATATTTTCAATATGTCTCCATTTGATATATGCTTTCCAAGTATATTCTCCTTTCAGTAGGATGTATTTTTCATATACTTAATAATGTACCTAGATGCACATTTTATAATATTTTAAAGTCTAATTTATATGGCTGATTGACCACCACTGTCTTTCAGTCGGTCAGACCACGATGATTGCATGTTGCTGGGATTTGGAAAAGGATACCACTGGTATTGTCCGTATGAGTAGGGTTAGCTGTATAGGTTAAGCTTTACTAGAGCTTCCAAAGCTAAACTAGAAAGAAGGACCTAGTGACCTACTTCCTTTGTCTTTTTTGCCAATGGAAACTATCAGTAACAGTTGAACACTGTCTGATTTGGTGTCAGAGGATCAGCCCCTCAGGTTGGAAGGAACTAAAATGCATAAAGATAACAAAAATCTTCAAACTGGACCAGTAAGCAATGTTGTATTAAGGGGTAAAAAGATTGAAATTATCAAGGATTTCATTTCACTTGGATGCACAACTGATGCCTTTGGAAGCAACTACTAAAAATAAAATGGCCTATTTATTGTTTTGGTGAAATTGCTGTACAAGACCACTTTGAAGAGCAAAAAAGCAAAGCTGTCATTGCTGAGGAGTGAGGTGTGCCAGATCCAATCCATTATATTTTTCAGTAGCCTGGAAAAATATACATGAGGATATTGGACTATGAATATGAAAAATGAAAAATAAATCAAGGTCTTTGAATTATAAAATTGAATGGACCTCAATAATAATAAATAAATCTTGGAAGAAGAACACCCAGAATGCTCCTTATCAGCAAGGATAGCAAGCCTTCTTCATCGAACGTACTTTCAGCTTATTATCACAAGGTACTAGTCCCCGGGGAAGGACAAAATATTGTCCAGCAAAAAGGAAGAGCCTCCACTGAGATATATTGATACAGTGACTTCAAGCATAGCTCAGTCAAGCATATTTAGGCTTGTGAAGACAGCACAAGACTTAGTAGCCTTTGGGATGCTGCACATAATGATATCCCTTGTTCCAAGTCCCCTTCTCAATCTGGTCTGAACCTCTGGCAGCTTCCTGTCAATGCATTGCTGCAATTATTGTTGGATGATCTTCAGCAAAATTTTACTTATATGTGACATCAGTTATACTGCTCTTCAGAATTTTACTTGGCTAGAAACTTTTTACTTTCCTTAACTTTAAATTCTTCTTGTCTTTTTTTAACACAGTAACCTTTGTTGTTATTGTAATACCAAGTGCTTAAACATTATTTCCTTCCCATACCCCCCTCTACTTCACCATCTCTTTTCCCTTTCTCAACTAGGTAAACAATATTAAAAAGTATAAATAGAAAAGATATAAATGCACTCATTCCAATATAATCAGATATATGGAATGTCTTCTATGCTGTATAAATATACATTTTAACATTATATAATTATCTCTGAGACTTTCTAGAAACTAGTAATTTGATTTATATAGTTCAATAAATGTTCATGGTTTTCAGTACATTGCTTTTTAAAGATCTTATAAAAATAGACAACACACTTTCTGCTTCTCTTGGTACATTTTAAATTCAACAATCTTTAAAATAATTAACTGAAAGAAAGCATAAAACGAAAGTGTCTATTCAAAATGTAAATATTCATTGAATACTTCCAAATGTGAAGTATATGTGAATTATTATCTTAGAGGTCTTTTGTGTAGACAACTCCCATCTGAGAACAATACATAGGTAGAGCAGTAAAATATAATTAATTAGTTATGGAAATAATTAAAATTCAGTTAGCATAATTAATAAAACAACAAATAGATTTTAAAATATCGCATTACGTTCAATTCTAAGTGTTTTCAAAACCATTTTATTAGGAGGCAACCCAGGCATCATAACATTTGACAGTCCAACCACATCAAACAGTATTGTACAATTGCTATCAAAATCAGTTTCAAAACATTTTATTCCTTCTTATACTCATTGATATCAGCACCCCTTTGTCCCCACCCCAATCCTCCACCAGACTCCTCAGGAACCTCTATTCTAATTGTTGTCTCTAGTTGTTCTATGCTGGGTTTCATCAACCAAAACACAGAAAACCACATAAAAAAGATTAAAGAAGATTACTCATAATGACAAAATAGAGATAAAAACCCAACATGAAAAAAAGGCAGGAGATATTAAAAATCAGATCAAGCCCAAAGCGTATCAGAGGAGAGATAAAATAACAAGGTTTTAACCATTCAAGTCAGATTGACCATTTTCATCTATTATAGTCTCTCCAATGCGCTCTGTCTGATCACCAGGTGATTCCTATTCTTCAATTTGGGTTCAAGGAAAATCACTGGCGCTGACTCCCTGCCTAGATCCTGCAAATGTATTTTCTGCTTCCACTGTCTTCCATAGCCTTCTGCACACCATAATCTCACAACTTAAACTCTGCTACTATCCCCTCCAGATTTGGGTTATTTAATTTATATTTCTTTGATCATGGATATGGATGTGCTTCTTCCATGTGGAGATAGTTGATGTCTCACTTAGTGGATGCTATTTGATAATGGGAAACACCAAATTTCTTCACGACACTTTGCTACAGCACCCGTAAGTATGAGGGTAAGTATTGAGCAGGGCCTTCTCATAAGACAAATTGTCCTTAGACTGGAACTAGGACTAAATGCAAACCACCAATCCATTCCTGACTCTGTGTTTTTTATGTGCCTCTGGCTCACCTTAGAGAATCCTTGCTAATTTGTGGCAGAGACTCTTCTTGGAGCATAAGGACCTTCTGTTTACAGGGTCATTGATTGATTAGCCTATTAATACTAATTTTTAAAGCACTGTTGAGAGAAGGAAATTGAACAAGTGTCAGGGTTGCATCCACTCACCATACTTATTCAGACTGTATGTTGAGTAAATTAATCCTAGTAACTGGGTTGTATGAAAAAGAACACAGCATCAGGATTGGAGGAAATCTTATTAACAACCTATGATATGCAAATGACACAATTTGCTTGCTGAAAGTTCGGAGGACGTGAAGAACTTGTTGATGAAGATCAAGGATTGCAGCCCTCAGTATGGACGACAGCTCAATGTAAAGGAGACCCCAACGTTCACTATTAGACCAATAGGTGAAATCATGATAAATGGAGAAAGGGTTGAAGTTGTCAAGGACTCTGTCTTTGCCCTCAACAACAAACAATAGCACTCAACAACAAACAATAGCACTCAACAACAAACAATTACACTCAACAACAAACAATAGCACTCAACAACAAACAATAACACTCAACCACAAACTATTCATGGAAGCAGCAGTCGAGAGATCAAAAGACGAGCTGTTTTAAGTAATACGTCTTCTGCAGAAGACCTCTTTAAAGTACTGGAAAACAATGAGGTTGGAGGATTCAGGGAATAAGGTACATCTGACTCAAGCCATGATATTTTCCATTACATCAGATGCATGTCAAAGTTGGACATTGAATAAGGAAGGACAAAGAAGAATCAATGCACTTGAATTGTGGTGCTGGAGAAAAATATTGAAATTCCTTGGACTGCTAAAAGGACAAACTGATCTGTCTTGAAAAAATTTGCTCAGAGTTCTCTTCAGAGGTATGGTTGGCAAGACTTTGCCTTGCATACTTTGGACACGTTGTCAGGAGAGACATTTCCTACACGAAACATCATGCTTACTGTAGGAGAGGGGCAGCAAAAAAGAGGAAGGCCCTCCAGGAGATGCACTAGCACAGTGGCTGCATCAACAGGCTCAAGCATCGGAACCATCATGAGGATGGCCAGGACCTGGCAGGGTTTTGTTCAGCTGTGCAGAGTGTGGCTGTGGGGCAGGACTCACTCAATAGCACTCAACAACAAGCATCGGATGGGCCCTTATTCTTTCAGGCTCAAGAACATAACATTCAGAAATGTAATGAAAGCCTCATCCAGCCACTATAAGTTCACCTTCTATACTAAGGCATTGCTGAGAGTGGCTCAGGAGAGTATATCTTCAAAATGGCTGAGGCCCACTACCAGTGAGAAAGAGAAAAATGAAAGACAGAGAAGAGTAGTTTTGTTGTGGGTAGATTAGGTGTAGAACTATTTAAGAAAATAGCTAAATTTAAACCTGCGATATCTACAGTTTATTTTTTGAATACCGGATAGTAGATTTCTCTATATAATTTTTCCTTTTTTGAGTTCACTAATAATACTGATAAACATTAAAGGAAGTATGGATTATTCCATTTTAACATAAAGTTTGTATTTTTTCCCATAGTTACAATTGTATAATACTGCACCATACAATAGGTACATAGAAATCCATGTTGTTGTTGAAAAAAAAATGGTGAGTTAATTTTGTTTTATTTGTATAATTTGGCATTTTTATAACTTTAAAAGGTTTTAAGAATAACATGGCATAATATTTTGTAGAATTCATCTATTATTTTTACTTTGCCTCTATTTTACTTTTTCTTTCATAACAAATATGCTGCAATAATCTCTGATAAATAGTTATTTTATTTCATTTTTTCCTTTCTGAGACAGTATCAAACAGTTGATTACCCCAGTTACAACTGGTCACCTTGATTACTTCTGGTTCAGTAGTAAAGTGGAATTGAATCCATTTAAATCTGATTGGAATCTCTGTTCAGTATTGAAACTGGCCTACTTGGGTCTTCCAATAGGATGATCTCTTTGACTTTTCCCATTTCAGTTCATTCAAACGTTTGTACATTTAAATATGTTTTTGTAATATTAACAAAACAATATTATTTTAATATCTAACCAAATTGACACCAATAGGTTTTTGAGATGATCAGAAAGGCCAGGGCTTGGGTCAGATACACCTTAATCATCAAAATAGCAACTCTACTTTTTAAAAAAGAAAGGGTATTATTTCTGAAACAGGATTTACCTCCACATTCATTCCTACTTCCAAAGTAAAAGCAAATCTCTGTGTGGTCTGAAAGTTCATGTGGTTCTTTTATCAGGCTTCTGATTTAGTAAGTAATTCGTACTTTTAAATATTTAATGTTTTCCAGTTTTGATTTTGTCTTATTTCTTTGTCACTGTGATATCTTTGCTTTTATAAGAATATCTTTAGTTAAAAAAAGTAGTAAGAATCAAAAAGTCCTTAATTGTAAACCTATAGTATAGAGTTGACATTTTAATGCATTAATTAAATGTATAATGTATTAATGTATAATTAGTAACTATATTTTTTATGGTTTCATAATCCATTATAGTCTTCTTTGTGCATTTTTGTAAATATTTTCCAATATACTTTCACCTTTACAATCACAAAGAAATGCTGATTAACTACTAGTATTTTATCATTGGCATTTAGATGCACTGAGCAATTTCCTAATTCACTAAGGTAAATTTTGAACAGAAAAAAGGGAACCTGTAAAATATTAAGCAAGCGAAATTGAGAGCTCAGTGGTGATTATATTTTTTAGTATGACCATATGGGCGCTAACACAGCTGCTGTCACTCAGAAAGTTTTCCAGGTGATTGGACTTGTCAGTGCAGTAAGTATTCATGTTCTATTGCCTTCTATTTCTTTGTACTCCTCTCATACCTGTATGGGTATCTTGATTTTCTTGTAAAATTGGAATAATGACAGTACCTACTTTATAAGATGATTGTTGGGATTAAATTAAATAAAGTGCTTGCTACGAAACCTGTACTAGTTTAAACATCATAAATGCTAACTATCATTACTATTATCACTGGTATGGCCATTTATTAAAGTCCTTTAAAGTACACAACCTATCTTCAATTTAGCTGTTGAAATGTAACATTTCATTAAAATTGTGTACACTATATGTGCAATATTTTAACTTTCTTCCCAAATTTATTTAAATGTGAATACATTCCCTGTATGTATTTTATTTTAGATGTTAACTTCACTTAATATTACATTAATTCTGTCTTCATTGGAGCTCTGGATATCTGACAATAAAATTTCTATAAATGGAGAAGCTGATGAATTACTATACCGATTTTTAAACTGGAAAAATACTTATCTTGTTTTGCGCCCCCATGATGTGGCAATCTTACTTGTGTAAGTAAAATACCTTGATAATAGTATAAAACCAGAAACTGGTTCAATCAAGTCATTTGATTTATCAGAACCCTCAGGACAGCCCCATAGGGTTTCCAAGGTTGTAACTTTCACAGAAATAGACTGACTTATTTTTTCTTTTGGTATAGCTGGTAGTTTTAAATCACTGACCTTTCGGTTAGTGGTGGGGTTCCAAACCACTGTACTACCATGTCTCTGGCAATGCAACCTATATTTAATATAACCAAAACTTCAATAATTACCTAATTTTTTATTGCTGTTTTTCTTTTGGAGAAAAAATATCTAGGCCATTTCTGACACATTGCACTTTTCAGGGATACTATTTTTTGAACACAAAATTTTTATAGCAAGTCCTACAGGCACCGAGTTGATTCCAACACACACTACCCAAGACAAGGTTTCTGAGTGTGTATCGTGCGGAGGGGCAGTGGATTTGAACCTCTCATCTTGTGGTTAGCAGTCCATTGCCTACCCAACAGCAGAACTAGATGACCATTATAACAGATCAGCTTTATTTAAATAAACCAATTGACTTTCTGGTGTGTAAATGAAGCTTACTATCGAGATCCGCTTTCTCTATGACTTTCAAAATCTCCAACTCCAGAATGTTTTAATTTTTGACTGGTTTTCTTAGCATTTGAAGAATTGAGGAACTGAGGGAAAGCAATGATTACCTAAGAAAAGGGACCATAACATAAAAGGACAGTAAGATGTCTAGGTCCAAGAGGGAATATCCTGTGGTTACAAGGTTTGACAAAGATTGTTTTTCTTATGTTAATAAATATGAACACAGACTAAATGTTCCCAAATTACTGAGTGGAATAAAATGACAAGAAGATTATACTTTAAAATAAATAAAAAATACTAACTTCTTACAATTAGACTTAATTTTTTTGAAATATTAATATAAATTAAATTTTTAGTACCAATTTACCTAATTTTTAAAAACATAGGAGAAGCAGGATTGTTGTTCATATAGGCCTACCCATTGAATATGGAAATGTAAAGAGATAAATGTTCAAATATGGATTGGGATGCTTATAATTTCACTTCAAAAACATTGACAAGACAACATGGCAGCGGTGTTAGTCTGGGTATTTTAGAGAAATAAATCCACAGCAATTCATGTATGAGAGACTTTATACAAAGGTTAAGTGCACATCAAGAAAACATCCCAACCCAGTGCTGACCAAGCCCACAAACCCAACATTAACCAATTAACCCATATGTCCAACACCAATCCACAAAGTCCTCCTCCATCTCACAAAACAGACTCAATGATGCTGACTGCAGGAGGAAAGGCCGAGTCAGCAAACGTGTAAGCATCTCAGCGCTGGCAGGGATCTCCACATGGCTGCTCCGGCACCCAGGGCTGCATCAGGGTAGGTCCATGTGATTTCTCCTTGGGGAGGTCTTGCAAGAAGTGGGCCTTGCCAGCTAAAGCAGGGAACTGCTAAGGCAGCTGCACTCGATGCAACCATCAGAAAGCAAGAGACCCGAGAACTAGAAAGACGAGGCTCTCTGAGCCATTTATCCCTCTGCCCTTCAATTAACCCCACATGTGTTTATTGGCCAGGTTGGCAAAATAAATTTTAACTGTCTCAGCAGCTTACAGAAGCTGAAACTTTCTCTGAGTTTCAATGTTGAGTAGAAATATCTTATTACACAGCAAGTAAAATATTTTCACAAAGATACTAGGAAAAATATTTTTCAAGAGACATCAATTAATTCTACAAGCAGAAAGTGTTCTCTCATCTTGCAATTTAATGTGAATAAATACAGAAAAAGGAGGAATGGACACAGGAAACCAAGGGAGGGATAATTGATGATTGATTGAGGGGTTGCAATGGATGAGTTGGGACAAATGTGTTTGAATGGTGAAATGTAACACTAATTATCAGCTCAGTAAACTTTTACCTGATCACTGTACAAAGTTCAAAATATGAGAGAAATTGCAAAGATGTCATTACACTATTGTAAAATGTAAATACCTGTACATTATAACACATATCCAAATGATTATATAGTACATATGTCTGCCTATTAGAAAATACACTCTTTTTTTTTTTTGACACTTAGAATAGTCATGGACTGCTGACTGCACAGTTGTGGGTTCAAATGTAAGAGCCACTCTGAGGGAGAAAGATGTGGTTTTCTGCCCCAGGAAGGATTTATAGACTTGGAAACAGGGTTGCTGTGAGTCAGAATCAACTCGATAGCACTAGGTGGGCTCTTCTTTATGTTTTGAAGAGTTTGGGCAACAGTTGACTTTTATAACTTTTGTCTTCTTTCCAACCCATTTTTATGCTCTGTTCTATACATAAGACCAATATTTTTGTGTATGTCCAACTGAATAGCTCTTTGATGAAGGCATGACACGATTCGTTGATTCTGCTCATGCCTCTGCTATGTTAGTTCAATTGCTAAGCTTAAAATCCTTTATATATAATTATTTTAATTATATGCTCAGTTGAGGTTTTTGCTTGTCATCAGAAATTATCCTATAGCAAATGAATACTTTTATACATTAGAAATTAAAAAAATACGTTTTATCTACTGTTTGATTTTAAACACAATGTATTTGCTTTTCATATGATGCACATTTGTTATCCTCTATCTAGCATACGAATAGTAAAAGTATTTTAATTTGATATAAATATAGAAGCATCATTTGTCTATGAAATTTAATATTATGTGTTTCCACCTTTACAATGTTTGTGTTTCTGAATTGTTTTCTTAAATTAAGTTACAGAGAAAAATCAAACTATGTTGGTGCGACATTAAAAGGAATCATGTGTGACATAAAGAATTCAGGAGGTGTTCTTCTGGTAGGTAAGATTTACTCTGCTAAAATGTAATATTTCGTTTTCTAGCCATCCAGGGAAATATTCATTAAAAAGGTTCCCTCTTTTAATGTTACCTAAGCATATTAATATTTTCATAAGAACTGGAAATCTCAGTCACTGACCTAATCAAACTATTTGAATTTCAGATGGCCCTTTTATCTAGCAGTGATAGACATTTTAATCTTTTTATTATCATTATTTAAATAGATATTACATTTAATGATTATAATGTTATTCTCACCCAATTCACTTGTCATTCTTTCATAAATTCAAATTTGACCTTTCAATATTTCAATTCAAAAGCTTATTTTCTGGACAATTTCTTATGTAGGCTTCTGCTATTATCCAAGTCTCTGATTTTTTAATAAATATTCAAAATGAAATTTCTATACCCTTTAATATTTTATAGTCACAACGTAGGAATGAGAGGATACACTGGTAAATCTCAAGCTCCCTGGCTCTAGTTGACAGTATATAATTTATTTAAAAATGTATTTAATGCATTTACACTTAGTGTTTGTTTTGGAATCTAATCATAGTATTTTGGTGATCCTAATACTTAGAATGTCCTTTTATGTTATGTTACATTTGATGACACACACTGTCTTTTGGATTGGGAGTGACATGACGTAATTTAACACCTTGGCTACTGTGTTGAAGTTATGAATAAGCTGAAGATATAAAGTGAAAGATTAATTAAACTAAATACCTATTCTATTTTTCCTGTTTACAAAGTATATTTGAAAACTGTCTGAGAGAAAGCGCTTTCTCCTAATCAGGATCATTGTCATCAGGTGGCTTCCTCACCCAGTGGCATGTGGCAATCTCAAGCGACAGCAGGCCCTAGGTTAGTGCCTCCACGGGACATAGAGAGGGCAGCAAACCCAGACCTTTTGCACGCTGACTTCAGAACAAGTGAATGCAGTCCAAACTAAATGGCCTCCGCCTCGTTCCTTGTCTTTAGAAATTCAATTACAATTTATTCTTACAGTTTTGGGGTGAAATGGTGGCAGAGGGAGGTCTGGAGATTTATGTAGCCAATGTCCCTTCCAAACATTTAAAAATAAATTATAATCCATCAAATACTGCTGAATTAAATAAGTTCCTAAACATTTATTTTAATCTCAATTTTAAAGGGTCATGTAGTATAAATCAAGTACAGTAATAATAAAAAGGCTATATTTGTATTTGTAGCCACAGTCAGCCCCTGACCCGGTTTTAGCAGCAGTCAAGAGATCAAAAAGAGGAGTTGCATTAGATACATTTTGATGCACAAGACTAAAGTATTGAAGAGCAAAGACGTTATCCTGAGGACTAAGGTGCATCTTTCCCAAGCCAGAGTAGTTTCAGTCACCTCATGTGCATGTGAAAGCTGAACATTGAATAAGGAAGACCAAAGAAGAATCCATGCATTTGAATGGTGGTGCACGTAAAGAATATTGGAAATATGGACCGCTAAATGGACAAATCAATCTTTCTTGGAAGAAGTGGCTTCTTAGAAGCAAGGATGACAAGACTTCCTCTTACCTACTTTGAACATGTTGTCAGGAGAGACAGTCCCTGGAAAAGGACATCATGCTGGGTAAAGTGGAAGGGCAGGGAAAAAGAGGAAGGCCCTTATGGCGATGGATTGTCACTGTAGCTGCAAGACTCGCCCCAGGCTTCGGAACAATTGTGAGGGTGGTGCAGGACCAGGCAGCGTTTCCCTCTGTTCGATGTAAGATCGCCATAGGTCAGAACTGACTCAATGACAAGAACAACAACAACAACAACGTATTTGTAGCCAGAATCTGTCCGTCCTTGGAGACTGGTGTGTTGCCATGGTGCTCAGAGCTTTCTACAGGGCTCCTAGGGTTTGACAGACTGGGAAGAAATCCCCTACTTCACCGTCAGACGATGAAAAGCCCACCGACCCCAGTGGCTTGATCCACAGCCAGTCATGGGGATGATGAAGCACCAGCTAGCATTTGGTGCGACTGTGCATGGAGTTTTTTCACGATTCAGGTGAACTCTAGGCAGCTAACAACAAAAGGAAAGTCAGGAAAATGAGATAAAAATTCAAAGAAGGAGTAATAAAGAGATATAATACCTACTGAACCCTGAAAGATAAATTCGTAGAGAAGATAATGTTTCAGAACGGTTGGATAGGTATAATTGTGGAAAAATTATTTGCTGGAATAAAATATTTACACTCGAAGATGATAACTAGTTTGAGTTTTGTAGCTTTTGTTTGAATAGGAAAAAAGGGCTCCAAGGTTTATTTGAATGAATAAATGTCTGATGAAAATGTTGTTTTGGTAAAAGTACTATCAAGAGTCATGTTTAAGTACTTGTCCAAAAAATCTATCCTTGAGAAATGGAGAGTGAGAAGGAGGAAAAAGAGACATGACGTAGGGAAAAGAAATATGTGACAAAGAGGGAAAGGGTCTCGAAATATACAGGGTAATATGATGAATGACAGAAGTATTACTCCAATAATTGTGGAAAAACAAAAGAGCATTTGTCATCTAATTGGAGCATTAATCTCAATTGTATCTCATACGGCATAATATAATTAAGTTAATATATACCATGGACTTATCGCTGAAAGCGAAAATCATTAAAGTAATTAAAATATAGAAGAATAACTGTGCTAGGCTTATTTTTCTTCCACAGTACATGGAAGATACTAACTTTCTAATTTGAAATTTGTTAAAAAGAAATAAAGAACTTGTGACATCCACTAGAAACATTTGTATGTGCCAGTCATCATTTCCAGAGTATGTGAAAAATTAAAACTCACAAGACCAAAAAAGAAAAAGAAAACGGATGACTAGAAAGGCAGTTAGCTCATAAAGAAGATATCCAAACAGCAATTAAGCATACATAATATTAAAACTAAAATCACAAGACAATTATGCTAAAATAAAGAGTGTAAAAGATATCAGGTGTCATTGAGGATACGCCCATTACTGGTTTCCTGAGTCTTTCATGGCTCCTGGCCATCATATGGGTTCAGAGTAGAGCTCAATAAAGGAACAAACTCACTCCCATTGAGTCCATGTGACTCATAGCAACCCTATAGGACAGAGTAGAAACCCTAGGGGTTTCCAAGGCTATGCATCCTTATGAGAGCAAAGAGCTTCGTTTTTCTCCCATTGAGAAGCTGGTGGACTTAAACCACTGACTTTGGGGTTGGCAACCCGTAAACCTCTACACCACTGGAGCTATTGCCAATAGAACTACGACTTTAACATCAACACATTTCAAAGAGGAATATAAATTTATTTAACTACTCTGAAAGACTGTTTTGCTATGTCTACTCAAGTTCAATCTGTGCCTACATTATGAGTCCATCAAAGGTAAATGAGAATATTTTCAGCACATTTATTCAAAATAGGAGACTTTGTGCCTTAACGGGCTAACCATTGTGCTGCTTGCTAACCCAAGATCATAAATTCAAACCTAACAGCTTCTGTGCAAGAGAAAGATGGGGCTTTCTGTACCTGTAAGGATTTATAGACTCCGATTCTAAAAAAAGGCCTTTATAAATACTTTGTGAGAGAATATTGACTTGATGCTTCACAACGAAAACAAAAAGAGGCAATATATATAAATCTACTTAAAATACTACAGAATTAAGGTTATGGAAAACATAATTTGCCACTATTATTAGGTTAAACTGTTCCCCCTCCCTTTGTCATATACACCTTACATATTCGTAATTATATAATTTAAAATAAACGTGACTATAAGAATGAGCATAACTATATTTTATACTTAAATTTGAGTAGACTCTGAGCAACATAAGTCATTTTTAAACTGTTTACTTTATACACTAGTAACATTACAAAACCTAAGTCTCATATTGCTCTTACCTTGATAATATATGAAATGTATGAATTGCAAAGTTACTTCTCTTGGTAACACTTTACATACCTTTATTATTTTTATCACGTTTATATTCTTATTTTTCTTAGAATGGTCATTTTGCTCTCCAGATGAATGACCTACCTTTTTTTTCCTTGTCTCTTTGTTGTGCTTAGTATTCAAGAGCAATAAGCCTGGAAGCACTTGCAGTTATTGTAACGCAATTACTGAGTCTCAGTATGGGGATACGATTTGATGACAGTAAATGCCAGTGCTCAGGAGCTGCCTGTATAATGAGCCCCAAAGCAATGTAAGCTGTTTTATTTGATAAATTCTTGCATTGATAAGTTTCACTATTTAAATGAAGAAGGCATCACTGTAAGAAGAAACACTAATGACAGAGTACTAGCCATGACCAACGGGCCCCCAAACAAACTAGATATTATAATATTCATGCTATGTATGTATCGCATCTCATTAAAAAATAGCACCTTTATATTTTCATAAGTGACCTAAATCTCAATATTATATTTGTCTGCCAAAGTAGTGTCTGCATTTTTGTATCACACATCTTCATCCTTAGCTGACCCATCTAAGTCTTGACATCCTTAAATTTCAAAAAAGCTGCCATTCATTCTATTATTTATCATGATCATAGTAGGCCAAAACTAATGCCCTGATCATTGCCCTTGTGGTGTCCATAAAAGCCAAAGGGGATTGTAAGTGTAGAGTACATTTGTTGTTGTTAAGTGCCATTTGGTCAATTCTGACCCATAGTGACCCTATTGCAGGAGAAGGAACTTGCCCAGTCCTGGGTCATCCTCCACCTTGTTATGTTCAGGCCCGTCCTTGAAGCCACTGTGTCAATCTTGTTGAATATCTTCCTCTTTTTCGCTCCCATCTACCGGACCAAGGTTAATGCCCTTTTTCCAAGGAAGGATCTCTACACATAACTTTTCCAAGGTATGTGAGACAGAGTCTCACCAACCTTGCTTCCAAGGAGCATTCTGGTTGTACTTCTTCCAAGACAGAATTGGTAACCCTTTTGGAAGTCCATAATATTTCCAATATTCTTCACCAGCACCTCAATTCAAATACATCAACTCTTCCCCAGTCTTCCTTATTCAATGTCCAGCTTTCACATGCATATGAGGAAATTTAAAATGCCATAGTTTGAATCAGGCACCTCTTAGTGCTCAATGTAACGTCCCTGTTTTTCAATAATTTAAGAGGCCTTATTCAGTACATTTATCCAATGCAATTTGCCTTTTAATCCCTTGACTGCTGCATCTATGACCATTGATTATAAACTCAAGAAAAAAATCCTTAAGAATTTAAACTTTTTCCCCATATATCATGACGTTAACTATTAGTCCGGATGTCATCTTGACATTGAATTGTAATCCATACTGAAGGCTACAGTACTTGACCTTCATCAGCAAGTGCTTCAAGTCCTCCTCTCTTGGAGCAAACATAGTGTGTCATCTGCATATTTCAGGCCTTTAATAAGTTTTCCTCAAGTCCTGATGCCACATTCTCCTTCATAAAGTTCATCTTCTCTGTAATTTGCTTATCCTGCAAATTGAACAATGTGGTGAGAGGATACAACCCTGACACACACCTTTCATGATTTTAAACCATGCTGAATTCCCTTGTCCTATTCAAGCAAATGCCTTGTGGTCCAAGTGTAGGTTTTACATGAGCAAAATTAAATGCTCTGGAATTCTCAGCCATGATTCTTCATAGTTGGTTATATACACACAGTCAAATGTCTTGACATAGTCAATAAAACATGAGTAAACATCTTTTTGGCATTCTCTGTGTTCAGCCACATTCTTCTGACATCAATAATGATATTCCTTATTCCACATCCTCTTCTAAACCTTTTCTGATTTTCTGGCACTCCTTCTCAATATACTGCTGCAACTGTTGTTGAATGACCTTCAACAAAATTTATTGTATGTGTTATCATTGATGTTGTCTCATAATTTCTGCAGTTTGGGGTCATCCTTCTTTGGAATGGATATAAATAGGAATATATTCCAGTCAGTTAGCCAGGTAACTATCTTCCAAGTTTACTGGCACAGATGAGTCAGTGCTTCCAATGGCTCATCAACTTGTTGAAAATTTCAATTATTACTCCGTCAATCCCAGGAGCATACATTTTTCCTATTGCTTTAAGTGTTGCTTGGACTTCTTCCATAAGTATCATTATTCCTTGCTCACCTTCTACCTCTTGAAATGGTGGAATGTTAACTAGTTTGTTTTAGCACAGTCACACTGTGTCTTTTTCATCTTCTTTTGATGTTTCTTGCATCATTCAATATTTTGCCCTCAGAATCTTTCAATATTGCAACTGGAGGCTTGATTTTTTTTTTTTTTTGGTCTTTGATGCCTGATCCCTTCAAGCCTTGTCATCTCCCAGGCTGGTGTGCTTCTTCCATGTGGGCTTTGTTGTTTCTCAGTTAGATG